CTGTGTGTTCCGGATTTCCAAGAATTTCAGAATAACTTTCTCCAAGAGTTGAATTGGAATCCTCAATTTAACTTTCATACACAAATTTCTTTCAACCTGGAATCCTTAGACTTACAATGCTACAGAATTCAATGTTTCCTCTGATTCTCCGTTTACCGTGAATACCCTCGTTCTTGCTTGCAAGTTCAATTAATCTCGCATGCAATCTGTTCAATGAAAACGATCAGGATGTTTCCTGGAGTTCATGAAAAGTGAATGAAACCGATTCTATTCACATGTAATGCTCGCGTTTCTCACGTAATCAAAGTTACGCATTCGTGGGAATAATGCTGCAATACAGTGGCAAACACCGTGTATCGGATTTGCGGTAATTATCGATTCATTCGACCCCAGCCTGCGAACTCTGAATTGGGACTTCAGCGTTTGTTTCCTGTGAAATCTTCACAACGATCGAATCGGTTACATCCATGCCCATTGCTTGGGAAACATTCCGAGAAATCACTTTGAAGCGATGTCATTGTGACCATTTATCATTGACATATTTATTGACAACCATTGGAGACGACAATTATAATGAAACCTGAATCCACAATTTGTCATAATAAATGACACCATTATCAGAGTCACGTAATACGTGATTAGACTAACGCCAATCATTCTTGAGACTTCATCTAGGATAATAAAAATATGAATTGTAAATGTAAATATATTGACATAAATCTAATTTTGTTACTACCTAGTTTCTACAGCCTTCACTCCCAGGTTTCAGTACCTACATATATTTATTTTTTTTACCTCTTGTTCTACTATTTTCTAGGTTAACTCAGTATCAATGATGAATTGTAAATGTAAATATTTTCTCAAAAAGCCTGCCATTCATAAACAAATAATTATTTTAGACAATCCATATTGACAGAGACATGAGTTTAATTTTGTTACTACCTAGTTTCTACAGCCTTCACTCCCAGGTTTCAGTACCTACATATATTTATTTTTTTTACCTCTTATTCTACCATATTCTAGGTTAAGTCGGTATCAACGTATAGCTGTACTTTGCCCCCGTGCCATAAACGAGTATTTACATCGGCTTCCACCTACTATATTTCATTTCGTTCCTCGCACTCTATTTTATACAAGTCCGACGCAATAGAAATCTACTAATAATATTACCAAAGGATACACTTTCGCACGTTAGACTGAATAGAATCAAGACAAGCGTAAACTGAGATTTCATTCTGTTGTAATAACACTCTCGTAAACTTCCTTGCACGTCCACTTTAAGTGTGTACGCGCAATCACTTCTCAGGAGGCCACACGCAGTTGTTATGGCCAAAGTTCAAGAATTTTTATTTAAAGATTTAAATACATCATTTAATCCAAGTCGAGGCGTAATTTTGCAGTACAAGGATTGAACTAAGTACGTAAATGTTGTTGTTGAGATGTATTTAAAAATGGTCAATTAGAACAAATATTTAGAAACAAACTATTTTGTTATAAGATGTAGGAAGAAATATAGCGTTAGATATATAATTATTTTAAGATTACATCAAAGAATCAAACATTGTACCTAGCTTTGTACCTAACGTCAGTTATAGACGTGCTTCCAGTAGCGAAACGCGAGCGCAGCTTCGCTCTTATGCGCTTTAAAAACGAAACGAACGCACTGGGTGTAAAACTGGGGTCGGTAGTTGCTTCCAGGAAGGTTACCAGCTTCTTCTTCGGCGCTTCCATCGAGTTTAATTGAACGTTCGTACACAGCTCGGAGGATCCTCCTATTCATCTTTCGCCCTGTTCCCCTTTCTGCTTCGAATTCCGCTGGCAGTTCAGTCTCGATTGATCTCCACGAAAGAGTTTATGTCTTTATTCCGAGTACGCATCTGGTATACATCTTACGTTGCCGCTGCCAGACCCTCGTAAAAAACAACGTCATCAGCTGTATTTTGTGGATCTTGGGCTGCATATTCCGAGAACGGTGCATAAGGGCACAGGGTGCCCCAAGAAATGGCGCAGAGAACGCTCGTGGAACTCGAAACACAAGCACGAATATACGCGAACTTGGTCGTTGTTTTTGTTTCTTTGCTCCTCCACGCGCTGAAGACAACCCGGAATGTATTTTCAATCGTTTATCCAGCAGCTTTTTACAGTTGTCAAGCTCACTGTATTGTCTAGAAAATTTGCAATCTCTTTGGGTCTCCTGGCACTGATTGGAGGAAATGGCATACTGCAGTTTCTGTTGTGAATTATTGTGGTGAGTAATAGAACTAAAAGCTTTGAAGATTAAAGATTGAGAAGGCCTTCAGATGATGAAATGTTGCCTGAAAGTTTAGCAACTAAGAATTAACCTTTCATTTTCCAAAATAAAAGACATATATTCCTCGTGTGTGATCGGATTACAAGATTACAGATTTAATTAATTGTAACTGTGTTTCACGAAACACGATGTGAATTGAGCATTACCGTCGTTATGTATGCGCGTACCTACCTACTTATCTATTCAGAGCAATTCCGTATAGAAATCGAAAGTGAAGGTTGTAAGAAGATTGCGAGTGGTCGGTTCTAACCGTTCCGGTCATCATTGAACTTTCCATCATAGTCAGGGCACCCGGCAATCTTTATCACTCGGCAATCTTCTTGCAACCTCCCCTTTTGGTTTCTTTCAGAAATTGCTCGTTTGGTTAGTCAGTCGACTTTTTGCTCCTTCAATTGATTCTGCTGATGTAAGTTCTCCTATTACTCCTCTTTTCTTGACTTTGCTGCTAGTTGGCCGATGAGCTGTTGACGACAGAGATTTTCCTCGTAGGTACTCCCGTGGAATCTGAGCAGGACATCAAGAGACGTTTACTTTGACAGATTCTCTCGATGCGGAGGGCTTCGTAGATAGGAGAACTTCTGATGAGTTTCAAGGGACTTCAACAGTTGGCAAACGTTTTCCTAACAACTAGCGACACGAATTGGTTATTTCTACATATGTGACTTCCATTCACCTGAGGAAAATAAATAAACACTCTCCTATTTCATCAATAATTTATGTTTTCAGTCTACCAAAACGAAAAAGAACATCTTCCTAATTTTGATGTCTAATGATTAATATTGACAAAAAGTCACACTTTGTAAACATATTGAATATCATATTCACATCTCTGAGTTTCTTTTAATTTTCCATGATTAATTTAATAGGTACACTGATAACATTAATACATGTATTCGTTGCAAAATATTTTTAACTCGCTTCCATTTTCAAAAATTGCCATAATTTATAAATTTGCAGTGTAAAACAAATTTTAATTAAAACTCAGTCTCGTGCCAATTAAATTGTGAACAATAGGTTCGCCACTCCTCGCACCTCCTGTGTCGGTGTTCCTCGTCAGGTTCCCGTAATTTTCTAAAATAATATTGTGTCTTATAGCTATCATAAAAGGATACAATCGTAAATTCGGGTCTCGTTGGGCGGAGGGCGATTGAGAAAGAGTATCTACTGGATCGTCTAATGTTCCCCGTAAGAAATGCGGGCTCGCCCCCACGCTTTCTACCAACTTCTTGAGATGTTAGATTATCGTATAGTTTGGTTCACTCTCTTCTCCTCTACTCCCTTTTATGGAAGCGGGAAAAAGTTCTTTCCCCGGCTCGTATAACGTCGTCGGGCGCTCCTACCTGTGTTTCCTTCGCGTTAGAGCCCTTCTGACTAAACTTCCGCCCCATTAATTTACATTAGGACATTTTTCAAGAGCCTCCGACGACCGTGTACCTTAAAATTGGCGAAGTCTTCTTTTTCACGGCGCCCCTTTTTCCAGGGTAGTGCCATCGAGTTGTTCGTGCCTCCCTTTTCGACGTTACGCCTGAATTCTTTACCATTAAATGACTTTACCGTCATCAGTTTGGAGTGCCGATGGATGTTTCTCGGTCGTTAACGCTTTTGTTGCGGAACCGACAATGTGACGGATTGCCTGTGCTTTTATAAATAATTTTGTGTAGATAGATAGACTTGCAAGAATGTAGATTAAGGGCTAAAACTTTATTGGTTTTTAAAGAAAGGTTTAATTCGTTTTAAATTTTCTTTTATTTCATTTATTTTAAACATTTATATAACTCGAGTTTCATATACCATTATGTTCATGATGTATTTTGTACGATTTTACGATGCTTTGCTATTACATTAATATTTTGGGCTTATTATTCAACATGAAAATGCTCCACTTAATTATATAGAATTATATAGAATGGAATGAATGTTATTTGAATGGATTTGATTTGCATATTGGAGTCTACCGTGCATTTATATAAATCCTTCATTTAAAACTGTACTATTCAATACATTACAATCATTATCATCTTTCGAAACACATTTTTTGTATAAATTAATCTGTTTTTTTTTTCAGTGTTTCTTAAAATTATATTATTATAAATCTTGCCGTTTAAATGTAAATTTGGATTATTGGTTGATATGTATAAATTATTATAGGATAAAGTCATGTCAAACGATTGTAACTTTTCAAAAATATATTCAAAAAAATAATGCTCTATGTGTAATAATTATAGATTTAATTTATGTTTATCAGTGTCTTCTATAGAACTATTTTATTCTATAAAACTTCTATAGAAATATTTTAACAGACTATTATTATCTATAACTAATCCCTTCCTATGCATATAATGTTCACATTCTTGTACCTCCACTCCTCCACATACCACATTGTTCTATTGGAATTTTAACATTGTTTCTGCGAAGACAAAAGAATAAAACGATTGAAACTTCAAAATAATTTGTCTTTACCTTACAATAATTAACCACATAAAATTATACATTGCAAGGAAAGCAGTCTCCTTACAACAACATCCACCCTCTCCACGATTCCACATTCGCAGCAATATGCTCGCCAATAGAATCCAACCGCCAACCATTATTATCCTTTTTAGTCACTCGCGTATGTTACGAAATATCCTATTATTACGCAAAATGTGTTGGTAAATGTTCAACAACGGCATTCCCATTTCTGCTTCAGCACACCCTAACGGGCCACTGCGGGAAGGTGATGGCGGCGAAGTTTCTTGGCGAACCGTCAAAAGTAGTTACCGGCAGTTACGATCGTACCCTAAAAATTTGGGACCTGCGTAGCAAAGCGTGTAAGTAAGCCAGCATATCAAGCAAATAGAAACGTTTTCAGCCACTCGGCGCTCGTTCATTCGTGTCCCGTAACGCGCGCGCCATTATCGCAACCATGGACAGAAAGTAATGCACGGCATTAGTGATAATCGCGTTCTTCGTTATCCCCCTTAATCATGCACGGCGCTAATACTCTCGAAGGCGTTTCGGGACAATAAAACGAACGACAAATATCCGTGGTCGTTTCGTCGTACAGGTATCGCCGGCCATAAGTTTGAGGCTACCCCCTTGGCAATAAGGAGAGGACATGTTTTATGGAAATTTAATAATTATATTAATAATAGCCGAGTTTATGACGCGAGTCGCAAAATTGCATCGTTTCTAGGTAGTCTCAAATTTATGACAAACTTTCTTAATACTATTACATCTGAAGTGAACAAGAACGTGTATAATGGCAACGTAGGATCATATTTGGTATCAAATGAATCAGGTCATGTGGTCTTGCAACTATGTTTCTATTTAAACGAGCTTAACACCAGAGGAAGAAAATGTGCTGGTGCTTCATTATCCAAACACAATTATCCACGATTTGTTGCTAGAATGCATGCTCTAAAATTTCTGATAAACACTTCGTGCACCTAGAACTGGATATTATGGCTCTGTAATCTCTTACATAAAATATGCAGGCAAATAAACGACGATGCCAGTCCGAGCATGTTGATCGTATTTATTAAACGTTTTGACCATATAGTTGTAGGTATTCCTCAGTAAGAAAAAAAAAGGAAATTTTTGGAAGAATATTGCACGATGTTACAGTAATCTTACAATTACTAAAGGGCAAGATTTGACATACAGTAAATTGCAAAAATACTTTTATGAAGAAGGAGGAGAAAGAGCTACCACTGGATATTTAAAAACTGTTTTTTAAAAAGTATATGGTTGAACAATTCAATGAATTTTAATATATTTGCACTGACACTACTGTTTATCTTGTATACCAAGAAATAATTCCAATTAATGCCAAAACGTATAGGTAAATTATACCAATTTCTTAGATTTGATCTCCTATAATTTGTCAATTGTTTTTCACGCAAGATATCACTATAAACATGGAGTCGAATTGACGCTAATTCATGCATCTTGCAAAGGTTAACGATTTTCTGAGAACAAGGATCGAATAAAACTGATCTTCCGTCGCGTCGTCGCTTTGCAGGATTAATTAAGTCGATAAGGCTCCTATCACGAGTTAGCGGAATCTTTCCTAACTTGCTTCAATCTGCAGTTTTTTTTTTACCTTCAGCGAACACCTTTTATTTGTAGTCATTGACTCTCCCCGATGTCTTTCGGTAAAAGGAGATTCGATAAGAATGATTGGTATACTCGTGCTTGATAAATGTGTCTGTCACGACATTAGATAAATGAAACGATTAAAGAAAATTTGTAACAGATGAAATTTAATCACGAGACTATTCCAGAATTTTAATATGAAAATTTACAGTCGTATGAAAAGTTACCCGAAGTAGAATATATTAATATTCCTGTCTCAATAAATTAATCTAAGAAAAAAAAACTTTTAGACAGTAATAATGGCCCTAATTTGAATAAGTCACTTTCTAGTTCGTGCTCAAATATTCTTCCTAAATTTTTAGAATTTTTAATAAAGAGAAAGAGTGATGATTTGCAACTTTTCATAAGCACACCTTGTATATTCAATTCGTTACGAATTTATGTTGAAAGCCAATTGTGGACCATTATAAACGATATAACAATTCCAAAAAATCAATTTCTGCTTCCCAATTAAATACTACAAAATTTGAGAAATTATTCGAAATGAAACTCGTTTGGTTTAATATTTTATTCGGTATTAGCAACGCAGCCATTTTAGATCCTTGATCACGGATCTGAGAAGTAACTTCTACTGACATTGGTCTTGTGGTTGTCGCCTACTTAACGGTTTAAACAAGCATTTTAGACACGAAAATAAGGAACACACGTTCAGAGCCGGAAGTCTGCCAGATAACTTTTGATATCGAACCTTATTTACAAACGTGCCAATAAAACACAACATTGAAATAATCAACAACAAACTACCGGACAATCTCGTACCATTTGTACATCACTGCCTTACATCCATCTATTATCTATTCTAAAACGACTATCACGAGCGAGTATCAGGCTATACAGGTTCGCTCATTTTACTAGTCATCGCTGACATCTGCGTGCATGAAACACCTCGATGAACAAGTGCACTCAGGATGCCAGACTCGGACCTTCCAAGTAATCTAGATTTATATATAATACCTTGGTAATGTAGGATCACGAAGAGATATATTATAGTAAAAAAAAGAAGGTGATTCTTAGTCATTCCAGTAATTTATTATCATCGGAATAAAAACGTGGTGAAATTAATGGCATTCGATGAAACCGTCTTCGGATTAACACTTGAAATGTACCCAGGAAATTTTATACATAATGGAAATTATACTGCAACCGTACTTGGTATAGTATGATGACGAAGAAGATATGAACACGTAAGAACACGTAATATCATAAATGTATAATATAATACGTGGAAATTTAGTTATTAAGATTCCTCTGAAATTTCTCAATTAATTGAACTGAAAGATGCTTTATCAAAGAAAGGAAGACAGAAATTGCTTACTTTTGTGGATATACTAATGATATAGAAAATTTAGAAGTAGAAACTTTAATAGGCCTCGAAGATCGAGTATAGAAAATTGTATAGTCAGTTTTCTGACTACCTAAGCAATCTACCTTTGTCATCATCATCTCGACATAAAAGTCAAACTGAATCCAAAATAAGTTCAATACAGAGAAGGTAGAATGAATATTTAAGATGTAGAAGTCAACAGAACGGTATGAATAAAAGAAAAGATTTGTACCAAACGTGAGCAACAGGAAAGATTTAAACCAAGCATGAACAAAAGCGACCATTTGGGATAAGACCCCTCGTGTCCGTTACCCTAAATGTCTGCAGACTGTATCTCTTCAAAAAAAGTCACGTACAAGCCAACCACTCAAGAAGTATGTTTTACGAAAAAGGTTGAGCTTGATCCTCGGCACAGTTAATCCTAGTTTGAAGATTTGTTCCCCTCCTTCCATGATCTTTCAGAGGAGTTGAAATTCAAGTGGGTAATATGACGGTATTCCTGAATTTGTTACTTGTGCCCACCCTGTTGGATAAAAGGATCAAGTATTTGATCCTTGAGAAGATGTAGGAGAACCGTTCGCATAATCCTGTTAAGGGCTTCGATTGCTTGTCGGACTTTAAGTTTATAATATGTCTGTGGCGTGGCACCTTCCACTCTGGCGACCAGAGGACCATTCAACCAATCCTGCTCCCGCTTGTTCTCGCTTCAGCACCAATTCCTGTGTACACATCCTTCGATCAGGCACCTAATGCTCTCGTGTCCGTGGTAGGGTCCGCTAGGTACCCTTCCTGACACGTCTACTGTTGGCAAACCAGGATGAAACGCACTTCTCCCATCCTTCATCTGTCTCCCCTTCGACAAACTACCGACAAGCATGCTCATTATCAGAAATCGGAAATGGTAACGTATCTTCTGAAAAGAAAGAAAAGAAAGTTTCATGGAAGAAAATTGAAAAGTCTTCTACGTTCATTTTTAGCTGTGAATCATTTCCTTCATTTAATCAACCTTTAATTGAGAATGGTTCAGATAAAAACAGGATAATCTGGTAACTTATACTTTTTTGGAAATTTAGATTATTAAAATGAGAAGAAGATTCGACACTCGAGAAAAGTTTGTTTCTATTTACTTTTAGCCATGAATCATCATCTCGTTAAGTAGCACCTTAGAATTGAAATAAGGTTAGATCTGCGTGTCTAGGTAACATGAAATTGGAATTCCAAAGAGTATGAGCTAGTGCCCTATAATCGGAAATTTAGGTACTTAAAGTGACATGTAGTGTGTTAAAACCTGAAGTAGGCTTAGGGCATTTTAGAGTCACTGCGTCCCGGGATAGGGGCTTTAGAAAAGTGTTAACTTGCATCTGAACGAAAGTGGTCGTTTTTATAGCGAAGCAAAGACCACACGCCTACTACTTTTATCGAATAGAGTTAGTTTTATGAGCGTTGGGGAGGTAAATTGAATTCACGGGGAAGTGGTCAGCTGATATGGACCGCGCCGACGAAAGGTCTGTGTAGTTTGCAAATTTATGCAGGATTTACATTCGATTCCTATGGACCGCTGACTAATCTCGTGAAACCATATCCTTCGGAGGACCGTTCCAGATATCGATTTACACTCTGGTCAACAGGGCTACAGAGTACCGAAGTATGCCCTGCCGAGGGTGGAATTCTATTGACACAGGAGAATTCACGACCGCAGTCTGTCTTGGACGACGACGTCCTTCTTGTATTAATCTACTACCACTACTACCATTGGCAATGTTTGGCGAGAAAGTGAATAAGAATTATTATATACATTATTACATAATTTCAGTTTTATATAAAAGAATTTAATGGGAAACTACTGCGAAACGACATCTTAACGTGGCATTTAAAAATAGTTAATTTTATTTTCGTTATTTTCATTTCGATACAACTAGCATTTCCTTCCGAAATTGATCTTTATTTATACCCTAGACCGCATGATTTATCGCCAGAGTCTGCTACATTGCCAGCACAGTGAGCTGCCTTACCAACCGACTACTCTACATTACCGAGATCGACCTGTAGAATGTCCTGAATTGTCGACATCGTATTTTACCTTACCAAGTAACTTACCTAGTACTCTGAAGAAATAATTAACATAGGATCAACATTAAATCAATGTTTTATTTTTCCAAATCGTTAGCTCGACATAAAATTTCGTTTAACGTCCTCAATCTTCGCAAATAATCCTACCTGCCACTTGAAAATAACGCTAGCAGAACAAATGGAAGAGCGAATCGTGTGCGCGTTGTACATACATAATAGGTAGAGTCCTTTCGCTAATTTTTCCCAAGCGAATGGGAGCACTTACCCAGCTAGATGTGG